ACATGTGATTTTCCCCCTACTTTTTATGTTAAGAAACTCTCAAAACTACAACTTATTAAAACTATATGCTTTAGTTAAGAACATAGGATAAAAATATTAACTCAATAGTCAACCGAAAACATTAAAGATCTGTATTTCCTAAGTGTTATTTATCTCTTAAATTTAGTTAACATATTCCAAATAATTTTTAGGTAAATTCTATTTATTTAAATTGATTTACAAAGAAACTGGTGGCTAGCTTTCTGTGATTCCAACGGAAGGGCACAATTGTTAGGTGTACTTTGATCAGTATTTAAATGGCAGACAGATTCCTGGTTTAGTCTAAATGTAAATGTTACTCTAAAAATTCTTTACTTACCAAGTGGTGGACTTACCGTGGAAATCATAAATATACAGAAGAATTGGCTCATTTTGCCCAAATGCACAGAATGCAACCATATTTTCAAATGGATGATAAGAAATGTCTCGAACAGGTGACTTGAACGGCAAGTCAGAATACATGGCTACTTGTTCTCCTAAATAAAAAGAGAAATTAAAAAATGTTTATCAGAGCATATCTATATCAGATAAATCTTGTTACAAGATTATTCTGCCATTTATTAGAAAATATAGTAATGCTCATATTATTTATGTGAAAACCTCAAATATTTAAAAATGTTTGAGTAACAATGTATGAAATTATCTTTATTTTACATTTCCTTGACCCTCCTCTTTCTACTTTCTACCTCTTCAATGAGGTTTTCAAAGCACAAAAGAAAGACAAAGGGCACAGAAGGAAGTAGAGAGGTATATGACTCTGAGATTGGACAGAGCTAAGCAAACTCCAAATGACAGAGAACTCTGGGTAGAACTATGGGAGAAATTACAGGACTCTAAAACTAAAGAAACTCTAGTTGGGTGAGTTTTGGTGAAGGATTAACTTTTCCATTTTTTTTTTTTTTCCCCAGATGCTGTTTGAGGTACCCATTTGCTTGAAAGATACTTATGACTCTGGCCTAAAAGATATCTAAAGCAGAGATCTGTGGAACGCAGGAAAATCAGTCAGGAATCAAAAAGCAAAGAATCTAGGTTCATTTATCGAAGGTGAGGGAGACAACGCTACTGAATTGATGCTAAAGCATCAAAACACGGTACAGGAAACATTCAAACAAAAGCCTAAGTTAGCTGACTAGTCAAAATGCCTAACAGAAAGAATACAAAAATAAACAAGGAAAAAATCAAATACTGTTCATTAAAGAAATTTTAAAGTTAGTTTTATGAAATTCTCTCAATTTCTTATTAAAAACATTCATGTAGCTTTAGATTTTCTTTTGAAAAGCAGAGGTGAGGTACAAATGAGCTTCCCAATATAATTGTTTATTGGAAAAAAACTGAATTGCAGTAATTCAGGTAACTTGCTATTTAAGTTTCAGATATCAAAACTATCACAGGTATGTTTCTATTACTAATGAAAATATATTATAGATGTTTAACAATTTGTCTACCTAATCATATTCCAAATTCAGCTTGTAACATTTTGTACTTTGTGTTAGTCTCCATTAAATGATTTACTAAGATCAGCAATGTCTCATAGGCCATGAAAGAACAAACCTTGAATTATAATGTGAAATTCTAAATCCATAAAGATATTAAAGCAATAGAGAACAGAATTTAATACAAGTTTAGGCTGTAGCGAAGTTCCTCTGAAGGCTTTCTAATCTTAAAAAACATAATTGAAAACCCGAAAGCAGAATTTCCTTGAAAATTATTCCATAAAAATGGTAGAATTTTCACACTTCTTCAAAGCCCTGTACCTCCCCAAACGATTTTTAAAGTTCAATAAATACTCACCTGTTTCTGGGTTCCAAACATACACTATACCATCCTCACTTCCAGCAAACAGAAAAGTCCCACATGGAGTCAAAGTACTATGAATCTTCTCCCGATAATTTGCTGCTCCTACAAATTTCCTTGCTACTAATCTACAAGCAGAAAAGATGTTACAAATGTAACTGTCTTAATCATGTAAATGACTGGTGGTATAATATTTTCTCTTAAATACTTAATTTCCATTTAACAAACATTTTTTGAGAATCTGTCATATGGGAGACATTCTATAATATAATGGATGCAGAATAAAGGAGAGCTAGTCCCAAGAGCCCAGGGAGTTTATAATTTAGCAAGAGAGGAGAAACATGTCAATGTAAAATAGAAGGCGGATGTAGAACGTACTGCAAAAGACAAACAGAAAAGTTCTTTTCTTTTCTTTTTTTTTTGAGACGAAGTCTCGCTCTGTCGCCCAGGCTGGAGTGCACTGGCCGGATCTCAGCTCACTACAAGCTCCGCCTCCCGGGTTCACGCCATTCTCCTGCCTCAGCCTCCTGAGTAGCTGGGACCACAGGCGCCTGCCATCTCGCCCGGCTAGTTTTTTGTATTTTTTTAGTAGAGGCGGGGTTTCACCGTATTAGCCAGGATGGTCTCGATCTCCTGACCTCGTGATCCGCCCGTCTCGGCCTCCCAAAGTGCTGGGATTACAGGCTTGAGCCACCGCGCCCCAAACTTGGACAAGAGAAATTAATTCTAGCTACGGAGAAAGAGAGACTATGGATAGTATTTGAGCTGGTTACTAAAATAATGGATAGAATTTTTATATTCATATAGTCTTCTACCTGATGAATTTTAAAAATAATACAAGGAATATTTGATCTCTGAAAAAAATTAGATAAAACATATTATTAAACCATCTGCTAAATATGGTACATAGTCTTCCATATTTTTGCACTCAAGAAAAAATAGTAAACACCATTTCAGCACATACTTTGTGCCAGGTAGGCACTATTACCATCTCTAACACCAAACAAAAATGCACTAGAAGTCCACGCTGATTTTCCCAGAACGCTGCTTCTACCTTTTACAGGAAGAATATTTCCCTACGTTCACCATTATTTGGAAATAAAGGAAAAAAACAAGGATGTATAAATCACAAGCCCTGCCTTGTTGTTATATCATATTATACTAATGCTGTAACAGTATCATAGTGATAATATCAGTATCAATCAATATCATTGTTGAAGGTAGAAGTTTTTTTTTAATTGTGAAAATAAAAGCAACTAACTACATTTCAGCCTCAGAACTATTCACATTTTGGGCTGGATAATTGTTTTAGGGAGACTGTCCTATGGGCTGTAGGATGCTTAGCAATATTTTTGATCTCTACTCATTAGATACTAGAAATAACATAAAAAAAAAATCTCCAGATACTGCCACACATTCCTTGGTGAGTGTGGGGACACTGCCTAGTTGAGAACCACTACCGAATTTTATAAATATAATTTAATTCATTACTTATTCTGTGAGTACTTATCCTGTCAATACTGAAATATACTTACATCCGGAGATCCATAATTCTCAAAGTACTGTCTTTGGTATGAATTAACAAACGTTTTCCATTGGGATGAACCTCCAAATAACTTATTGGAATCCCCTTAAACTCAGTTTCTTTAATTTCCTAAAATGATAAAAAAAAATACTACTAATGAAAAGTTTAATGTTAAACGTTTTTGGGGGTACAAAATTAATCTTAAAATATTTTTTCCAATTCTGCAGTATAGGATGCTTTATAATTGTTAGCAAAAGGATTCTGAGTAACTTCAGTTTAGGGTTGAAAACAAAGCTGATGAACTGTATTTTTGTGTTGTTATGCAATGTGTAAATGCACATTTAATTATTATGTGTTTTTGTAGTATGTTCACTTTCCCAAAATTTAGTCAATCCCAAACAAGAAGCACTTCCAACAAACACATCTTGTAACATTAAATTTTTGTTTAAAATCATGTAAGAAGCTTCCAATTTTTATAAATTCAAAACCACATGTAGAAATAATTTTCAAGTTTCTATTCTTATTTAGATAAGAATTTCTAACAACAGATGAAATGCTTTTTCAACAGATCTGACAGACTCAATGGATTTAACTAAAATTCATGAAAATTATTTTTCACTTAGGGTGTCTTTTTTCAACTACTGTCATTATTAAGAAAAATTGAAGAAAAAGGTATAATATGTTAGGCAGAAACTGGATCAATTTATATAAAACAAATTCAAGTTTAATGATTCATTTGTATTTTTAAATACAAAGTAAAAAATGTACACTAACAAAATTGCTTTACAAGCTGTCTTAAAAACACTCCAGCCCCCAATGAAAGAACTTATTCATTTGTTTCCATTTAGCAAATTTCAAATGAAATAATTATTGTGATTAAATGACAGACTTTCATAATAATTACATAACTCTGAAAGACACCAGTGTTGACAAAGTACTGAGAACACTGTTTTTAGAGATGTTATTGGACCAAGGAAAAAGGATATAACAGAAAATATAAAGTATTACTTATCGATGGTAATATAACATACATCTCATTTTAGCATAAATGTCACCCAATGGATTACTGAATGCCACAGTGCAAATGGGATATAAAAAAGTGAAACTAACATCTGGCCGAAATTTAAAAAATCTTCACTAAGTCATTACATCATCAATCAGCCACCAGGAGGGTGTGCTAATTAATTATAGATAAATGACTAAGAAAAAGTGTTGGCCGGGCGCGGTGGCTCAAGCCTGTAATCCCAGCAATTTGGGAGGCCGAGACGGGCGGATCACGAGGTCAGGAGATCGAGACCATCCTGGCTAACATGGTGAAACCCCGTCTCTACTAAAAAATACAAAAAACTAGCCGGGCGAGGTGGCGGGTGCCTGTAGTCCCAGCTACTCGGGAGGCTGAGGCAGGAGAATGGCGTGAACCCAGGAGGAGGAGCTTGCAGTGAGCTGAGATCCGGCCACTGCACTCCAGCTTGGGTGACAGCGCAAGAGTCCTTGTCAAAGAAGAAAAAAAAAAAAAAAAAAAAGAAAAAGTGTTAATTTTTTGAAATGAGAGAACAGAATGTCCTGACATCCTATCTTAAAGTCATGTGACTGGAGTTTTCCAACTTCTTTAATTAAATCCCATAATATAAAATATGATTTTATACCTTATTTATAGTCCAGTGGCACACTGAATGTTCCAAATCATTAACCTTGACATAGGTATTCCAAACAACAATCACCCCTGTACAGTCTCCTGAATACATATGATGACCTATTTAAAAAACAAGATTACTCACTTATGAATGTCCCAGAGTTAGAAACAAATAATAGGAGACTGGGGGAAACCATACCCCAGTAAAACCGTCAAAGAATTGAAGGGCTATTAAAAGGTATTTCAGTTTAAAAAAGTCAAAAATCAAAATGCAACTCACAAACAAACCCCAATTATCTTTAAATGAATTCTTTACTCTTTTAAATTATTTTTGATGACTTATTTCCCTTTGTCACTTACCTGAATTTAACTACAAAAAGAAATGAGCCTCTGAGTACATGTGTATATGGCTCATATTGCAAAGCCAAATAATTTGAACCATCCTACATGTAACATTATTTCTCACTTTATTAACCTATAAATCTGTTTTGGAGTCCTAGAAAAATACCTATATTCTAATACATAGTGTTAGCATAATACCTGAGACCCAGTAGAAACTCATTAAATGATCAGGAAATGAATAAAATAATAAATAACAGGTATTCCAATTTAACATCAATTCTTTGGAGTCAAATCATCTTAAAGTTGACAGACCTCAGAAAGTTCAACTTCATACCCACTCAGGAATATCTCAACCACCACCACTAACAGATGGCTGTTCAGCAACTGTGAATTCAGTATTTTACAAAACAGCTATTCAATTGGTGAACTGCTTCCTGTATTAAAATATTCTTTGTAATTCTGAACGAAGAAAATCTACCTTCTACAGCTTTGGCCCACCTCTACCCATTGGAGTAAAATGGACCAATTTCCTTTTTTTTTTTTTTTTTGCACATTTGGGTATCTTACGGCCAAATAGTTGAAGAAAGTCTTTATGTCTCTTTTACAATCTGAACTACTGCTATTATGACAGAGTTAGTTTTCAGATACCTTTCTTTCCTGAATATGTTCTAAATTTATTAACATACCTACAGCTGAACTGAGTAAATCAGCAGTATTATCCTTTTGATCTGGATCCCATGCCAATTAATTATAGTGACAGCCTACATGCCTAGTCTCTGAAATTATGTAAAAAGTGACTATTTAATAGATATAATAAATTTCTTTATTCTTTCAGATAATAAAATGATTTATGTTTTACATCTTTAAGACATACTACATTATTCTTTTTTTTGAGACAGAGTCTCACTCTGTCACCCAGGCTGGAGTGCAGTAGCGCGATTCAGCTCACTGCAACCTCTACCTCCCAGGTTCAAAGCGATTCTCCTGCCTCAGCCTCCCAAGTAGCTGGGACTACAGGCACCCAGCACCACACCCAGCTAATTTTTTGTATTTTTAGTAGAGATGGTGTTTCACCATGTTAGCCAGGATGGTCTTGATCTCTGGACCTCATGATCAACCCATCTTGGCCTCCCAAAGTGTTGGGATTACAGGCATGAGCCACAGCGCCCAGCCACTATATTATTCTTACTTTAAATAATTGCAAATTTCCCTTCTATATGTTTGTAAATTTTAAGGTTCTTGAAAGAAAGTAAGAATGATAATCACCAGTCCAAAGAAATATATTTATGCAATTTTAAATGTTTAAGAGTAACTTAAAAATTACAAACAGAACTCCTTCAATGTCAAATCTATCATATGACCTGCAAAACAAGCATACAGCTAAATACGCACAATCATCAGTACATAACCCTCTCAAGCCTCGATAACTATTATTCTGGTAAAAAAAATTCTTCACATAGCTGGCCTTCATTCATAGTCTCTGACATACCTTCAGTATCAAAACAAAGTGAGTTGATAAAACTTTTGTGAACGTCAAACTGTCGGACCAACATGGCAGAATCCTCTCTCATCTCAACTTTCCATATCCGTATCATGGAATCATAGCATCCTGTAACTACCAGCTCTCTTACAGCTGGATGGAATTTAGCCGTGTAAACAAAAGAAGGATGAGGTAAAACTTTGAAAGTATTTGTATTGTTTATTTCATTTTTCCATATCCTGGAAAAGGATAAGAAGTTACATATTGCTTCTGAAAAGCAGAAGTTTCTTTTAACAGTTTTTCTAAGAACCAACATAGCCAATGAACCTTAAGTAAGCAACTGACAACAACCAATGATAAACTAAGTTTTAAAACAATGAAAAATATGATGATGATCTCATATTTGATGACTGGAATTTTCACATTATGACAAAGTTATTTGTTATAGGTATCATCCAGCATATTATATCCACTAATTGTAATCTATACTATAAAATTAATAACTGTTTTTTAAACCTACCTATTTTGCCATTGGTTAAACACACATTGAACAGTTGGTAAAATATCGCATTTAGTACAATATGCATAAAAAATATACAGGGAGAAACTTTAATGATTTCCCATTTACATTGTGTACACCACTTTTACAAAATCTTTATTAATGGGGGTTTAGAGAATAGCATAGTCTATTAACTTTTATATTTGTAATTTCAAAGCCTAGATAGTAAAAATGAAAATCTCAAAGATTTAAAAGAGATACTAAAATTATTATATTTTGAATTCTCAAGTAAAATAAGATTAAAATAACTATGACATTTTGATAGAAAAGACTATCCTACATTAAGCACGTCCTTTTTGTTTAACACTCAATATCCTGTCCTCTAAATAATGGCTAATTAAAAAAAATTAAGTTTCTAATCACTGCGACAGTCTTGACAAATGAGTAAATCCCTAAGGGTTAATCTGTTAGATACTCTGCATCTCTAGCAATGTATAAAACTAGGTGAACTCTACCAATATACAGGTACTATATAAGTGTGAAGCACTGGTTTTTAAAATATATTTGGTTATCAAAATTAGAAGGACATATTAGTTTTAAATATGGGATTTGTATTCATCCTTTTAATCACTGCTTGAAAACTAAAGCAAAGTAAGTCTGTTACAAGATTACTGATAAGAGAAAAAAAAAACAGTTTCTATTCAAGAATAATATTCTATGAGTTTCCTCAGCAGCTGCTTACAATATAGGATATGATCTTCAATTACTAAGAATCCAAACTAATAATAGAGGAAGTGAAAGAACATGTTTTCAAGTAAAAATAAAGCACATGAATCAATTGCACAAACATTTTTTACCACAGTATATTTTCAATAAGCATATTTACATGAAATATGATGCCTATTAGAAGAATAAAACCACTAATTTTGGGAAAATATTAAAAAGATAAAAGATAAAAAAACTCAGTTGTTTGGCAAGAAATCTTAGTAGCATTATTTAAAATACTATATAACAGGCAGAAATGAAGCAAATACATCTTCAAAACAGCTCAATATAATTAGACATAATATTAAAAAAAAAAAAAGTAAAGCTTTTTGTGTAAAAACTGAACTGGAATCAATGATGGCTTCTGTTACCCAGGCCATGGGAGAATCTGACATTCAAAGGAATATATAAATGGGCTTGGGGAAAAAAAATCAGACTAGATAATAGAGAACAAAGAAACACAAACTTGTAAAGACTGAATGAACGCACACAAAAATTACTAGATTTGGGAAAGAAAAAACATACCAAAGTTAAGCCGTATGTTTGGGAAAAGGGAATAGTGGGGACATGTAGGCCTGTTTGGGAGCCATTATACATGGAAAAGTCTTTCTGACTGTATTAGGCGTTGTTGATTTGAGAAAAACAGATTATTCTGGGGATAACTAAATAAGGGTGTTTAAGATAAACCCATATGGCAGAGAGCTAACCAAGTGGGAAATACTTAGGAGACACTGACAATAATATGTGTCAGGGATCCTCAGGAATAAAGAAGGCGAAGACATGGACAGAAATCCATACTTCTGCCACTTGCGAGCATTTGCAATTCTAATTCTCTTTCTTTGGACAACAGCTCATTTATTACAAGTATTCCTTACATCTCTCAAAAATCTCCTTGCCGTTTTGATGCTAGCCACAATGCTTCTCTTTTCACTCAGTTAATGCTTTCACAATACTATTTTAATGATGTAAACAGTCCTAAATTAATATCAGTTTTAAAGATAAATAAGGAAAAAATGTGTGCTTTAGTATAATATACTACGTATTGTGTGCAGAAACCCAAGATAGCTTCAAGGAATAACAGAAGTTGAGCTGGATTGTAACTAATAACTACAAACCTATGAGAGCTCACAAAAGGCATTTAATTTTTGTTGAACGAATGAGTTAGTCAGCAAGGGTAGAAGGTCATTTAGGTATAGGAAAAGTAGGTAAGTTTCAAAGGGCAGGAAGATGCCAAAGAAGATAAGATGCTAGGGTGCTTCAAAAGATTACGTGGGTGAAGCAAAGGGTACGGGGAAGGGCATGAGAGAAGAATGTTGGGTCAATGAGGAACATGCCTGTTAGGCCATGCTAAGGAACTGGAAAATTTTTCAAGGGGCAATGGGTAAAGTCTTTTAAAAAATTAAGGCATTATGAAAGATAGTTACGGAAAGATAATTTTAGCACAGCAGAGACAGAGGACTTAGAGACTGAACACTGAGGTCAATAGCAAAATAGGGTTTGAATTAAAGCAAACGCGATACAGAGGATGTGACAAAATTGTGAGCCTTTTAGGAGGGAGAATTGGCAGACTTTAGTGCTAGTTAGATGTGAAAGAAGTGATGGGAAAGAAAGAAGAGATGAACACTACTCTGAGTTTTCAGCTTGGGAGATGGTGGATAAGGATGCCATTAAAATATATGTAAGAGAATTAAAGGAGGAAAACAAAATTTAAGAGATCGGTAAGTTTGGTTTTGGATTTGAGGTGGCAATGGGCCATTTAAATGGAAACATGTAATAGGAAGTCAAATTCATAAAAAAAGGTGTGCGCTAGAAGTCATTAGCATATCAGTGAGAGTCAAAGCCGGGGAAGGTAAGAGAAACTAGGATAAGCATATAAAACCAAGAGATGATCAAGTAAAG